TTTTTTCTTGTATACACTATTTTTACTTCCAAGTTCATTGTTTTATTCAATGACTGTTTAAGAGTTCGCCTATTTGTGTAATGACTGCGGTTGTTGGCATGGACTAATTCTTTGCACGATGATAGTTTAAAGTTTATTGTTGTAATTGAGGCGTGGACATCGACAGCGAGAATTAAAATGAGTACTGGCTAATAGGTTGTCTGCAATATTATCCTAATTGTTGTATTGGTTTGCTTCATCTATCTCTATTTTCTAGGTTTTGAAGGTTCCGCCAAATTGTAACCCGACCCTGGTATCGGGATTGCCATTATACAGATAAGCTGATGTATTTAATGCCTCCTCCTTGTCTTACTCTATTATATTCTTGCATGGACTAATGACCAAACGAAACTCTTGGACTCTGTTTCATATTTTTCACACTTTCTGAAATTCGTTCGATCCGGATATTGGGCGCACATTTATCATGCAGCATTGGGCATAGGGACTTTGTTCGTTTCTCACCGACTCACTTGCTGATAGTTACATTCCTCATTCTTGGAGGGATTATGGCTTATTTACATGTATAATTGGCCAATCACGATGCGTATAATTTTGTGCAATTTGGAATATACTGCATCAATCAATCAACACGAGTTTCGACGCGACTTCTTTGCTTACAATGTCCAAAAAATATGCCGATTACTTTCGTAAAACGCAGCCAGAAAATTATAGTTTTCTTGGTTTCTATAGATATCGTTATCAGCAATCTGACTTTACCTTTTCATACCAAAAAGAGTCCCGTAAACTTAGTAGCGATCTTGAGGAATTAATGAGTGAAGATTCAGAAGTAGTTAATTCTTATGCTCACCTGTTGCTGAAAGATCATAAGGTTGCTTCTTTCATTTATTTATGCTGAGGGTTTCAAACGTGGTTATGCGACTAAGAGGGACATCTGCGTTTGACCCTCTGAAGGTCGTGTATCACAGGTTCTTTCTTGTGCACACAACTACGGTGAATATCTGCGCCCATTCACTTTATGGTCTGCGTTCCGCTGTGTGTCCGTTGTGTACCCTTAGTTATAATCAGTTTTATTTATTGCTGCTCTGACTATTATACTTACCCTATTGATCCTTAGAATCAACGTGAAAAATATCCTGATGTTCAAATGTTTTGGAATAACATAGAGTCATCTGTCGCCAATTCAAGTCTAAAACTAGATAAGGTCTTATTACATTATCATTCTTTGAGTTCCTATTCCAATTCAGACTTTTATTGACTAAATATCCTGATTAGGTAAAGATGGCTCGAACAGTAATGAATGGCACTAAGAGGTTGATCAAAACCGCCCTCAACGAAATTGATAGCACACTGAAAACCAATGTCTCTAATAATGGACTGGTATATTTACATATATTCTTTTTTTGTGCCACTTGCCCTGCACCTATTCAGCTCATTAACATTTCTATTCACTACATCACTCACGAATGAATGTGAATTCAAAGAATGGAAGGAAACGATCAGCCGAAGAAGCTTCCCTTGTTACTACGCCTCCCAACCTTCGCGACCGCTTTCCTCTTCCATATAAAAGTGGAGATTATTCTTCTGATGATTATAACGAAGAATCATCCGAAAGTTATCCTGATGTTGCTAAAGATGTCAAAACAAAGTCCAGAAAGCGTAGATCAAAGAAAGATACCAGAAGTAAGATTTCAACCAAGGGGAAATCAAGTGACCAGAGCATTGTTGTTGACGTTGGCCGGTCAACCTGTATTTCTTCTATGAATGTACAACAAGTATCCGCTATTGATGCGATCAATGATGCTGAACAAACTACCTGTGATGAATCTGAATTAGTCATCGAAGAAAACACTACAGAAAAGACGGAAAAAGTAAGTTTTTTAAGTAATTGATCTCAAATAGCAAGATCTAAATATTAATCGATTAATATTTATCAGTCAAAAACGATACTCTCATGGAAACACGTTGTTGATAAAATAAAAATTTATGATAAATCGGATAATGATGTAATTATTGGAATACTATTTTGTCACAATAGTTTAGTAACTTTTTACATAAAAATGATATTTATTCATCGTTTTTTTTTTACTTATAGTGGTTAGTCGATGGATACAATATTTCGAAAGATTTTCGTGAATTTCAAATAGATACGGTTGAACGATTAAAGAATAAGCCGACTCTTTCTTATGCGACCAATGTCGATGAAATCTTGTAAGTATTGTTATACTGGTTGATCGGATTTTCGTCAATATTTAATTTTTATGCGTTGTGCAGGTGTCTCTCGTTTATATTTTATGTAAAAGAGGAAATGCCGAAATATATAAATTGCACTAGTCAAGTTTGGAATGACGCATTGCATAGACATCTAACTCCCGTAACCTTACCGATTAGTGTTCAGCTTATGATATTAGAATATAGTACAGTAAGTTCCGCCGGATATTGAGAGCATTATGATTACTAATAATTAATGATGATTTTTTCTTAGCTCTTAAAGGATAGAAAGGCTTTAAGAGAAAAATGGTGCCAAAATTGGGTCGAGTGTGATGCTTCGATGACCGAAAAAGAGGTCGATATTTTTGAATGTGTGCAACTTGTAACTAGGAACTTGTAGGTGGAGATTTTGTGTTATGTTATCTTTGTTTGCATTATTAATGATGCTTACGATTATCCTGGCATTCCTGCAGCTTTTTGAATATATCATCGTTAAACAGCACAGGTAATAATGTAATGGATGAAGACACTTTCGTTCACAGACACTGCCATTTATTGTTGGAAGAAATCTTTAATATGGCGAATTATAAACTTTTCTGGTGAGTTTTTATACTAATGACACTGTACACTAATAATGTAAATGTTTTATCTAACTGTATTAGTATAAATCAGGGTTAATGAAGAATCAAGTAGCTCAAAGGAACGACGAAAATCTGATGGTAAAAAGAATGGACGGAAACCAGATTTTCGATTAATTTTTGAAGAAAAAAACGAATTATCTTTGGAGAAATTAAACCGCCTTGTGCTGCAAATAATGTAATAAACCATGCTTTGGTCAAACTTGGAGAATTCATGAAAGGCTCACTAGATTCTCTACATAAACGATTTGGGTATTCTCAATGTTCGGAAACATTTGAAATCTTCATTAAAGGTAGCTTATCACTATTGTTAGCATAATAATTACATGGGTGGGAAAGAGACATGACAGAACAGGGAATAAGGGTATGGGGTTGGGTACCAGGTCTGGCGTGGCGCAGGGTCAGATGCATCAGATTATGCATCAGTGGAGGGCTAAAAGTATGTGAAAGCTTGTTGTAAAACTTGCAGGACACGACAATTGATTTGAGGACACATCGCAAGTAATATAAATAGCTGTAGAATAGAATCAAAATGTAATAATTGACAATTGCTAAATAAAGAAGTTTCTGCTTAATTGAAATACTGAAACTTGTAACTTCACGTGACAGTTTAATTACAAACTTACCTTTCTTGTCTGCAGATCGTCAATCGTATAGTAGATCGACAGGGCCCAGGATCAAGTTAGGATAAAAATAATTAAGAACGCCATAAGACAAGGCTGCGATATCCAAGAGTCAAGCAAGGGCTTGACAAGTCTATCCTATCGTAAGACGAGGTCCAGCCCCAGATTAGCGACAGACTCACCAGTACTGATAACACTATCGAGGTTACTAAAGCTTAATGCCAACTAACCAGATGTAAATTTAACAGGATATGAAGTTGACCTGTTTAGCATGGACCATGCATTTGACGGATTATACCATTTCAAAATGATTGGAAGTTTATCATTACCTATCGAAAATTCAAATTTTGTAATTCTAATTTATGTTATCTCAAACTTTTATGGTTTGTTGATAAGAATCTTTACTATATTTCTCAATCAAGTTGTTATATAGTGTATTTGTTAACTATTTTTATTATTCGGGAAAAAGCAGATCGTTTGATTGCAGAATTGAATAGATCGTCTACACTAGTCCAAATTGGGTTATTCGGCTGCCGAATTACAGCCGATTAAATCCAAATTTATTAATAAAAGTTTATAC